AGAGACTGAGAGAGAGAGAGAGAGAGAGAGAGAGAGAGAGAGAGAGAGAGAGAGAGAGAGAGAGGGAGGGGGGGCGGTGACGGACGCTGATTACACCGGAAACACCGCGACACGTCATAGGACCGGAATGCCTTGCTATGAAGACCCAGCGCAGTCATTTTTGAGATAATAAAAGAAAAGCCAGCTAATTACTGCGAATGCATGCTAATCAAGGCGTTATCCTTGACTTTGATCAATGAGGATATTTATCGGTTCTGCTGGTCACAAAAGATGGTAAAAAGACAGGTAGCATGTTGTGATGCAATCATAGAGGGTGACTGCGATCCAGGGACTTGTTTGCCTCTGCTGCAAGACCCGTTTTGGGGAGAATAATGCCATTACGACCGATGCCCGTTTCTACCCCAGCTCATTGCTCGGATATTGCAGACAGACGCCAGCCGGGCTGCCAGACAGTTGACCTCTAGGTAATCCATCCCGGTCAGACGGCCCCGGTCACTGGGCAGACTCATTAGCTACTGCTGATTCCCGGAGCTGTCCCCCATGCACTACTCCGTGACCCAATGACCGTCAGTGTTCATATTTGCCGGCTGGTAACCCAATGATGATCGATCTCATCATTCACGACTCGACACATCCAGCACCCTGTCCTTTCCGCCCCCTCCCCTTCGTGTCCCCTCGCCCCACCTGGAGGCCTGGGGAGGGACACTGGACACGTCTGGTGAGTATGTGAGCCCCTCCCTCACACACGTGGTGTGCTGGCCACCCTCTCAGTACAGGCGACAGGATGGGACAGCAGGCGCGTGCTGTACCACGTGGTCCTCTGCACCAGGACGGCCGCGTGGACACTGGACAGACGGGCGGACGGACAGACGGATAAACGGAGTGAAAAGGAAAGACGGACAGATGGACATACGGACGGACTGAATGGGCAATACGGGGCCCCAGGGCATATTTTAAGGCACTTACTGCGTCCCATTCTGGGACGCAGCCCCCTCGCCTTGGGACATAGCCCCTGCTGATTTGACCCACTGCGTCCCTGCCCTGTGCCCTGTCCGGTTCCCTGACTTGTGCCCTGCTGTGTGCCCTGACCTGTACCCTTCCCTCTAAAATGTCCTGTGCCATGCCCTGTAACCTGCCGTGCCCTACTTTCTGCCCTCCTCAGTGCCCTACTCTGTTCCTTGCCCTGTGCCCTTAGTGGTAGCACGTGCCCTCTGCTCAACTTTGGGACGCAGTAAAAATTTGTTAAAATATGCCCGTATTACGGGCAGGTGAGCAGATGGACAGCAGGAAGGGGAGAGACGGGCGTAACTGTCGCGACTGAACGACAGGCATATAGACAGACAGACAGACAGACAGACAGACAGACAGACAGACAGACAGACAGACAGACAGACAGACAGACAGACAGACAGATAAATGACAAACCGTGGATGCAGACAGCTTAGGCCTATTCAGGTACGGGAGCGGACAGAAAGACATATCGGATGAACCGGACGGCTTGGCACTGGCGCTGTACAGTTAGTATTGCAGAAAAGCTCAGTAATTGTCGCCACTCGTCCGTCGTTTAACGTTTGTCTATCTAGTTTTCATTTTAATTTCAAAGTCAATTTCTTAACGTCGTGTATGTGTAACCTATGTAGGTACAATGAGCATTGTATAGTCGACTACAGAATTATGCTCCACTTTTCACAGGCGATTATTTGCCTGGAGTGGTAGACTGTGCCGCATCACACGGGCTGAGTTCACAAATTACAGCTTTGTCCCAATGCTCACAACCGACACGCTGAATTGCGTCATAAACGGCACAACTTTGAACTTAGCGCTCCAGTCAACTGATAGCTTCTGAGGAGTGGACCATCATTCTGTAGTCGACTACACATATAGGGAAAATAATTGAATTTTCCAAACAATGTTAAGATAGCTTACCACAACAGTGTGACGAGAAAAGCCTTTAATCGGCTTACCAGCAGACTTTTGCGACAAACTTTCCATAAAGAAATTAAATGCATAGTTGGTTAGGTAGAAGTGCCGGCTTCCCATGGATATTTGCCTAAGAGACATGCCATGGAGACATGCTTAGGCGTCCCGTCCCGTAGTGCAAGTAATCCATAAAGAACGGATAATACTCATTGGCGGGTCCAGGGGGGGGGGGGGACATTTGGAGAAAATGCCTCTCCCCGCAGCGCCCGAAATCGACGATAATTTGCGTTTTTTTCGAGAATAAAGCAATAACTACACAACTTTTAAGTGAAAAATTTGTTTCAAACGATACAGCAGCGCGTAAGGAATGCAAATCTGATGAGTTTTTTTTAATTTGGAGAAACTTTTTTGGGGGTATACCATAGGCGGCGGAACGGGGGGGGGCACCGGGGCACCGTGCCCCCCTTGAATTCTGCAAGGGGGGCACCAATAGCAAGGTGCCCCCCCTTAAATTTGATGTATTAGTACCAGTGGCGGATTCGGGAAAACTCCAAGGCGAGGGTCATCAGAATCGAAGTGGTGCCCCTACCTATTCTCAAAATTAAAACCTCAACGGATTTCGGCCACTTAATTTTGGTGGTGCCCTATTTTCAGTTTTTTTTCCTTATTTTTGGTTCGTCATGTGATGACTGGTGCCCCTGCTAGGCCGCTGGTGCCCCTGGAAAGACTGCGGTACCTACCTACCCTGCCCCCTGACAAGCCTACGGTGGGCCCTGACATGACTTAGGTGCCCATGGTCCCTGACCGGCCCGTGGTGCCCCTGACAGGCCTGTGGTGTCCTTGCTAGGCCTGTGGTGTCCCTGGGCCTTGGCAGGTCTGTGGTGCCCCTGGCGAGCCTGTGGTGCCCCTGTTAGAACGCAGGTGCCCTTGACAGGTTTGTGGTGCCCCTGACAATCCTAAAGTGTCAACGACAGGCTTGTGGTGCCCTTGGCAGGTCCATGGTGCCCTTGCGAGGCCGGTGGTTCCCCTGCGAAGCCAATAGTGCCCCTGGCAGGCCTCTGGTGCCCCTGGTAGGTCTGTGGTGCCCCTGGAAGACCTGTAGTGCTTTTGCTAGGCCGATGGTGCTCTTGACAGGCCTGTGGTGCCACTGACAGGCCCGTGATGCCCCTGCTAGGCCTGTGATACCCCTGGCGGGCCTGTGGTGCCCCTGTCGGCTGTCAGGCCTGTGGTGCTCCTGGCAGGCATGTGGTGACCCCAGGCCCTAAGTCATGACCCATGTGACCTCCCCCCTGGGATTCGCCACTGATTAGTACTGCGATGGCTTCTTGGGAATTTGATACATGTAGGATAAATGGAATTTATCAAACGACAATAAGGAAGAGACAAACACATAGGTACTTGAGGATCAGCTTAACCCTCGCCGGCACAGGCCATTTTGAGTCCTTCGACGGCACGGGGGGGGGTACGACCCCCCCTCGCGTTTGGCCCCTGATGGAGCTAGAGCTTCGCGGAAAAAACGAGCGTGTTGTCCGTCACAAGAGGAAGCCAATGATACCCAATTTTAAGATCCTAGGTCATCGGTTGACCTTCCAGGTCAGGTCAATGACCCATAAATCGGGAATATCGGGACCTGTTAGAAAGTCGTAAAGTGTGGCTGCTAAGGGGTTTTCCGGGGTGCTGATCACGAATATCGTGTTAGTTTTGATCATAGATGATGTCGTGAAGCGTTTAGACCAGGTCGGGTCAGGTCAGGTCAGGTCAACCGGTAGGGGTCGTGACGGGTATTCGTAGTACCTGTCATCCGCCTCTGACAGCTTCGTAACATGTTACGAAGGCACCAAAACTACTTCGTAAATGGTCCAATGGTTGCTAAACTTGAATTCAGCTCCAAAAACAAGCCTAGAAACATGTAAAACTCGAAAAAGTGAACCGAGGTCACCGAAGGTCAATGACCTGACCTGACCTTCTGGTGACCTTGACATCCACCCTAATGCATGGGAGCAACATCAAATCACATGTTTGAACGTTTGAAACCACGAAAAACTTGCAAACGCGTGGCTAATGCGAGTCGACATACGCCGAATCGCGATTCCGGCCAAACATGGTCTCAGAAAAGAGGTCACAGGTCAAAGGTCATTTGGGTCAGGGTCATGATATTTTCAGGGAAGGTGTAAAATTGATCAATGCGAGGGTATTGAAAGTTTCGTCGCGATCGGCCGCTTTTTACGCGAGTTATTCGCGAAAAACCTTAGGGGGTGCATCAACCGGCGAGGGTTAAAGTTAACCACTCATACGGGGGTGAACTGCCATTTTCTTTTTGTAAAAAAAAAATAAAAAATAAAAAAAAATCATCGTGTCAGGGCTGTGACGAAAAAAAAGTGGCCTAAATCCGATGAGAAAACAGGATTTGGGGGTACCCTAGGTTTGGCTCCTTGAGCTGGTGCCCCCCCTTGTCTCAAATCGTTCCGCCGCCTATGGGGTATACTGCTCCCCGCAGCGTATAAGACCGCCTTTCTGGATCCGGCAGTGAGGATACTTGCCACATTAAGGAAACTTTCGAAGACAGGACGTCCCAGCACGTCTCCATGGGAAGTGGACATCCTTTTAGTGGCCACAATATACCTACATGCATGTCTGCAGGACATCCTGTGTGTGACCACACAGTAATGCACCGAGAGCTACTGGTACTGCATTGTGCACGCTGCACCCTGCATCCTGCACAGTGCACAGTTGTGGTGGTGCCATTGGTAATGCAAATTTCGGGTGCCCTGCGATTTCAGCATAATTATCAATAAGAAAGTGAAATATGCTACTGTTTATGCATGTTCATCACTAGTTGTTCCAAATTTTATTACGAACACCGTGGGTTTTATTTAACCTGAATCCCATTATTTCAGGGGCTTTAGCAGCTCAGTGCTTGAAGTTATCAACGACAGCGCTACCGCCTACCGGCGCCGACGGCTGCGTGTGTCCCCACCTGCACCGGTAGGCGCCCTGCCATCGATCAGTACCGGACAGCACGGTCACGGAGGCGGGGGTGGGGAGGGGGGGCAATGCACCCTACCGGCACGGCTCCTCACCTGAAGGGCTGCTCCGAGCAGTGTCAGCGTGTCCGCTCCCCGCCGGTCCTGTCTCGCTCAGCGCAGGCCTCCGCTCGTCACCCCTGCTCGGCGCCACACTGCCTCCGTGCCCGTCTGCCGCGGTACTGTGCGCCGCCACGGCACACCTATCCGGCCCGGCCGGCGCGGCCACCAGCCGACGAACCGCCGCCGGCGCGCCGCCCGAGCCGGAGCCGTAACACGAGCCCGAGCTGAAGCCGCAGCGGCACCCGGCGGTGTCGCATGTCACAGACAGCACGGGGACGGGGCAGAGGGTGACGGGGACTCACCCATGGGTCGTGACAGTCCGTGATGTCCGTGACGACCCTGTGACAGTCTCGTGACAGTCTCGTGACGTTCCCTTGAAAGTATGTAATTGTCTGTGACGGTCAATGCCGGCGCCTGTCGCCCCCCTCGGCCTGTCGCGGCACGGTGTGGTGTCTAACAGAGTAAACAGCGCCGCTCGTGGCCATTGGGTCAGCTGACCTCTGTTTATGGATTGTGAGCGGACCGGCGCGCGGTCGGGCACCGATAGGCCGACACCGGGGCTCACATGATGCCTGGTTCTGTCACCGGAAGGAGTGGGACGCGTCACCGGAAGGAGTGAGGCACCTCTTCGGAAGGAGTGGGACGCGTCACCGGAAGAAGACTGTCATCGGCCCACGAGTGGCCTGCCATCGAAACCAAATGACCTATTATCGGACCGCGAGTGACTGTAACTTGTGTCATCGAACTTGTGTCATCGAATTGTAACTTGTGAAAAATCTGTCACAGGACCTCAAGTGACCTGACACGGATCACGACTGGCGTGACAAGGAACAACGACTGACCTGCCTGTACCTATACCAATATCGTTTCTTACGTACGTATGTACGAAAGTACCTTGTTCATCCGCCCTCTCTTCCCTGGGGATCAACTCATCCACATTCTCGATCACACTCTCCTGACCCGAGCGATCGACCCCACCAAGCGACCAGCGCGGTGGGAGGGGGAGGGGTACGCAGCATACCCTATCCGGGCCTGCCGAGATGACCGTTTGAGTGGCCGGGTTGACTTCTGTGGCGGGATGCGCCTTCCTCAACGGGATGGACGCTGTCGCCGCGGCCTACCAGTGCGGCGGGTGATCAGTTTACACCAGATGTCTCTCCACTCCTCCCATTCCATGGCCCGAAATTGGCCGATCGCTCGCAGCTCCAGACTGGGGCCACGAAAAAAAAAATGCGGCCAACCGCTCATTAGGATGGATGCTATACAGCTCCAGGTCCACGGGTCTATTCAGGCGTGATTGGCGGTATCCCCGCCCTCGGCGTTAACTCCTATTTTTAGAGCCACCCGCGGGCTATTCACGGACACTGGATAATGGCGCTGCAGCCAAGGACGATAATGTCTGATGGTCGATGGATATAGTAGGACTGTGTAATTTTCAAAGCCGCAAGGGAGTCAAGACTCGCAGCGAATCAAGGCAAAGCCGTTCACGCAGCGAGGCAGTCGGGTAAACGAATGAATACCTTATCGGTTGCGCCGCCATTGTCACACACTTTTCCCTTTAACCCGCGCCCCACTGGGGTCTGTGTATAACACGCCCTACTGGGGGGGGGGGGGGGCTATTCATAGCCCCCCCTCCTAACTCCGAAACTACTGGGCCGATCGTCAAAATTCAAACGGCGTCTGATAGTCCCGGAAAAACTGTCGAGCGAAACCTAATTTCATTGACCTCGAGGTCACCAATGACGTCACAGGTCAGGTCAAAGTAAAAATTATTAGCATTTTGGCTTGTTCACATTTTGGGCTCTGGCCGCCGTCTTACAAGTCAGATCATGCTCATTTTTGGTTTCCACACTCGTGAACAGATGCTCTAGATACCTTGAGGGTACCAAACTTGTACTTTGATTTTCAGGTCAGGGTCAGGTCATCACAGGTCACGGAAATATTATATCATGCGTCGGTCACGTGACACATGTTTTATGGTCCATTTAGGCCATAGATTTCGAATTTGATGTCTTCTGTGTCATTCGAGGTAATTTTGAGTCGATTTTAGCTTAGGTCAGGTCACTTTCAGGTCAAAAAAGGTCAAATTTTGAAGTTAAAATTTCTCAACAAAAAAGGTGTCTATTGGATGCAGTTTGAGCTCAGGAACACGGTTGTGCCATTTATATTGGTGTACGATGTCAAATACGTACTGAAAAATTGATTTGAAAAATTAATAATTGTGATTTTTTTGCAATAATGCGTATAACTTGGCTATTTTTGAAGATATTTAGCTAAAACTTGCTAGAGTTAGTCATAATCATGCGTTCTGTCACATATATTCCGGTTTTTTTCGAAAACTCAAAAACTTTTTGAAAAAAAATATAAAAATATAAATTTTGAATATTATTATATAAAATTTTCAAAATTTTCAAAATTTTGAAAATCCGAGATAGCAGTTTGATAGCGCGGTCAATTCTGAGTCCTTTCATGCAAAGAAATTGGATCTAGCTTAAAAACTGAGCTCTTGGGAGCGATTGCCGTGGTTCAATGTTTTGCGTCGAATTCGGACGAACATGACGTCACTCTGACGTCATTTCCGGCCGACCTATGGTAGCTACGAAGTTCAAATTTTGACACAAGGTGTCAAATTGATGCAGCTAAAGGTACTGAAAGTTTGGCGTCGATCCGTCAAGCGGTTTGGAAGTTATTGCGGAAAAACGAGAGGGGGGGGCTATAAATAGCCCCCCCCCCCCAGTGGGGCGCGGGTTAACAGAAAAATCCAATCACTTATCCTGTATATCGAGTTGGATTCATTCATTGATCATTTCTAGGTATTGAACATACCGCAAACCAGTATCTACTTAACTTCTTTAAGCCGGTATTGTGTAGTTCTGCTGACATTTATTAAAAAATAAATTAAAAGAAAATGATGCATTGAACAGTAAGGGAGATAAATACATCAAGCGATCATACCCGTGCGATTTCTTGAGTATGGCTACGCTCAGTGTTCGCTAAAAATTGAAGGCATCGACTAATGACCTGCCATCTACATGAAAGCAGAGACAATGCACGGCCAACAAACGTCATGTCAGTTCAGTGGGTACCACATTATCCGGGACGCAGGGTCAGTGAAGAGAGCATGTAACAGGCAATACGCAGCTGGCATGTCGTCCTCGAATGCCACACTGTAATACTGGTAAAGCTCGCCAAGGGCTGAGTTCTAAGACAGAGCCTGGTGTCATCTGCTTCCGTTTCGTCGAGGTCGTCCATTCTACAAGTGAGGCAAGATCGTAACACTGTCAACGCATGTAACCTGGAACCATAGCCTGGCAAGCCCTCCTCTTCCGACCCACGCACGGAGGAATGGTGAACCCACAGCATATATCTACACCTCAACAGCAACAACGACCATCACAATGTGAGACAGAAACATCCTATGAGAGTTGATCGACGCGTCCGCAAGACATGTCGACAGTGGGTGCTCAGGGGTCGCCTCGCGGACGCTCAGGGGTCGCCTCGCGGGCGCTCAGGGGTCGCCTCGCGGGCTCCCCATGGCCGACAGGCCGGAGTGGCGCCCCGGCCTGGCGCGGTCAGTTGCACTGCCGGACCCGTGTCTGCTGCCGACACCGGCTCGGACTGGCCGAGTTTGTATGGAAGTTGCAGCAGAACACTTGTCGCACGATACGCGTGCTGTTGCCTCGTCCGCAGCACAGATCCTCGCAGCTGCCGGCGGCTGTGGGCACGAGCGGAACCAGGTCACACGCCGAACTGCAAGCCTACTATGCATTTCAGACCCCATGAGACCCTGCTTTTCGGCGATAATTTCTTCAATTTTTGTCCAATTAGCTTGAAATTTTGGCAGACGATATTTCAGCTCAAGCGCCAATTTTTGTCAATATGGTCTCTTAACAAAATATCAAAATTTAGAGCACTTGTCGTTGGCTCGTAATGCTAATCAGTTTTTGCACCCGGATAGAGGCTCGCTCGCTACCGCACCGGATTGGATAGGAGCGCTGGCCAATCACGTTGCGCCGGGCCCAACTAAACTCCGCCCACTGGCCGTGACCGCGATGGGTCTATGCCGCTTCAGTCGGTGTCAGCACCGCGGAGAGGTCGGGGCGGGACCACATACTGGAGACAAGTGAAGCCGGCAAAGTTGTTTCGGGACGAAAGCCAAAAAATTATCCGTTTGAGGGCATTTGGTATCCTCTTCTCCTTATTTTGTTATTAAACGTCGAACCAGCTCAGAATATTCAGAATGATCAGAATCAAGGTAGGATCTACTGGAACGGAACCGGCCGTAGAAGGAAAGATGGATAGGCTCTTGGACTCTGAACATTTATTTAAGCCGGAGTTGCACCTATCTCATCGTCAGGTTGGGTCAGGTCACTATCCGATTACCTATAAGATCATGTGTAAGCCTCTGCTTGACCCAAAAATATTGGTATATTTGGCAGTGTCAATAAATGTTTCTGAAGAAGGCGCAGAAAGCAACAAAGTAGGATGAAGAGTCTCGGGCACGGGCGATTGCCTGGGGCATCGCTCCAGCGAAACGACCGTATTCGTGATTCGTGAAGCGGTGCGGGCCGGGGCGCCGGGTGGGGACAGAAGCGTAATGTGTCGTATGGTAGAAATGGCCTTTATCGCGGTGTCATGTGTGTGTTATATTGTTAAGACGTGCACAAAAAGAAATAACAATGTGGCAGGCGGACGTTGGGCACTACACGAGAACGATCATCAATAAACACGTATCTTTTTGTAAAACTTAAGGTAACAGTAGGTATGTCCTCAATGGTGAGGTAACTATCTCTAGGCCTTAACTTTTCATGTTTGCATTTTAACACACAAGCTCTGGGGGTAAAGTTAGTCTGGCGACCTCCTCAACCTAAGTCGATGATCAAATGGATTAATCCTGAAGGTGTTCAATGCTTAGTTGCACCGCGATGATATAAATCGATCACGCCGGCATACATTGCTAATCAAATTTCATATATCAAACACATAGGTAAATTGCATCCTGTTAATGGTGATTCTGTTTTGCAATTTTGACGTAGTCTGACGCGATACATAATCTTACGCAATCATCTGAAATCAACAGCGTCTTTTATGCGCGTTTTTCACAAGCCCCGAATCTTGTG